CAGAGGAGGTTTAGGTTAGATATTAGGGCTAGATTTTTTACAGAGAGAGAAATCAGGCATTGGAATGGGCTGCCCAGGGAGGTGGTGGATTCACCATCCCTGGAGGTTGTCAAAAAGAGACTGGATGTGGCACGTAGTGCCATGGTCTATAACCACAGTAGGGTTGGACTTGATGATCTTGGAGCTCTTTTCCAATGCAGTTGATTCTATGATTCAGGAGCCTGAACTATCTGTAAGTGCAGGGGTCCAACCCTGCTGACTGCAGCAAGCCAGCCCTGTACAGATGAAGCCAGGCTGCAAATCCCACCCAGCACCTGGCAAACTACCTTTTCCTGGCTAGGTGGGACAGTGGTGACCCCATGTGCTGTAGGTCGCTGCTGCTCACTGCTCCCGTCAAGTACAGACAGGATTTCTAAGTTACAGAAAGGCTTAGGTTAAAGTCACTTTTCTCCAGCAGAAACCAGTCAACTATGTAGCTGAACCCAAAGTGAAACCAATTTCCAATTGCTAACTGGCAGGTAATTCTCATTCCAGACTAGCTCAGGATCCCCCTTGCAGGGCCGTCGCAGGTTTGCTCTCTTTGAGCTCCCCTCCTTCCAAAAACCTCTGCAAGCAGGTAGCACCAGTACAGGCCAGACAAAGTTCCTCTGGAAACACTTAGTTTCCGAAGGCTTGAAGACACTTGCAAGTTGTGGTTTCTCATCACAAGTATCAGCTACAGTATAATTCCAGAAGACATTTTCCTGCAATTTGGTTTCCAAAAACCATCAGTCTGCAGCTCTCCTCTCTCCCTAACTCCTACCAGCCCAGGGAAGGACCAGCTTCCTCATTCCCTTGGGAACAGAGCTTTCTTGAGGAATATTTTTAGCTCCATTTCTGGAGGAGAGGTCTAATAAGAAACAATATCCCGTCCCTTGTCCATACTGGATATATAGCACATGTCCAATTCCTCCTTGAAATATCACCAGGGAGCAGTGGGGGTAAAAAAACCCCCCACATGTTACAATGGTTTTAGTGATTTTTTTCTGTTCAGCCAAAGCATCAGCCTTTTACTTATTTTTGTGGGCACAGCAAGGACTGGGTAGGAGGGGAAGGCTATGAGGCAAAGGGCTTTTATGAAGTTATTGCTACTCCGAAGGCAACTTCTCCCCTCTCTCACACTAACCTACTTACAGACCATTTCCTCCACTGCAGTCCTGACACCACAACTCCTTCAAGCCAGCACACAAGTGAAACAGCACCTCCACAGATTTTCTTCAGCTAAACTAAGGACTTGTCTACACCAAGAAGAGGATACACCTTTCAGCATTTAGGGAGGGGGGAGTTAATCTGTAATAGAAATAAACTTCCTGGGAAATTTCTTCTTTACGTAGTGAACTTCCAGACTGGTTGGGGGGAAGGTGGTATTTGTGCACGTTTTTACTTTGATGACATTTCTCTGGGGGGATTTCATAGCCTATTCATTCAGAAAAGTTAGGTGGAATATCTTTTATACAGCATGATTTCTTTTTACTGTAAGTCAGCAGAAAAATTCAGCATGATCCTGACACAATAAAACACTTCCTAAGGCACTGTAGGCCTGTAGTGGTTTTGTTTTCTGTTTCAGACTAGTTAAACAACCAATACAACTGTTTATTCTACTGATTATTTATGTCCCTAGGAAACACCTCCATTCTGCTTGGACTGAGCGGTGGAAAATCCTAAGCTTCTGCTTCTCCATTCTCACCATTGAGATTTTTTTCCCCTTCAGTATCAGTCCAAGATTCTCAGCCTCAAGACAGTAAGTATCCCTGTGTTTTCTTAGTAGTACTTTTGATTTTGATACTGTATATCATAACTATAGAATCATAGACTCAGTTGGGTCAGAAAAGACCTCCAAGATCATCAAGTCCAACCCTACTATGGTTACTAGACCATGGCACTAAGTGCCACATCCAGTCTCATCTTGAAAACCTCCAGGGACGGTGAATCCACCACCTCTCTGGGCAGCACATTCCAATGTCTGATTACTCTCTCCATAAAAAAATCTCTAATATCCAACCTAAACTTCCCCTGGCAGAGCTTGAGTCTGTGCCCTCTTGTCCTCCTGCTGGTTGCCTAGGAAAAGAGACCCCCCTGACTACAACCTCCTTTCAGGGAGCTGTAGAGGGCAGTAAGGTCTCTGAGCCTCCTCTTCTCCAGGCTGAACAATCTCAACTCCCTCAGCCTCTCCTCATAGGACAGAGATATTTACATTAATGATTATAACCTAAAATCTAGTACCACAATATTGTCAACCCAGAAATCTAACCTGAATTTTAAACCAACACACAGAAGTGCCCCATGTCTGGGAGTCACCAGTGTGATACTAAGAATAGGATAATGAACCCCTCCCACTTGAGAAGTAACTAACAAGAATTCATTAATACCAACCATATGAAGTTTAACAAAGACAAGTGCTGAATTCTGCCCCTGAGATGGGACAACCGAATGAGAGGCTGCAGAGCAGCACTGTGGAAAGGGCCCTGGGGGTCCTTGTGTATGGCAAGCTGGATATGAGTCCCAGTGTGCCCTGGCAGCCAGGAGGGACATTGTGTCCTGGGGTGCATCAGTCGAGGGAGGGGATTGTCCTGCTCTGCTCTGTGCTGGTGCAGTCTCACAGTTGTGTGCTGTTTTGGGTACCACAATACAAGAAGGATCTAAAGCTCTTAGAGTGTCCAAAAGAGGAGTATGAAGATGGTGAAGGGCCTTGAAGGGAAGCCATAGGAGGAGCAGCTGATGTTGCTTGGCTTGTTCAGCCTGGAGGAGACTGAGGTGAGACCTCATTGCATTCTGCAGCTTCCTCACAAGGGAAGTGGAGGGGCAGGGACTCATCTGATCTCTCTGGTGACCAATGACAGGACCCCAGGGAATGACATGAAGCTCTGTCAGGGCAGGTTTAGGTTGGATACTAGGAAAAGGTGCTTCCCCCTGAGGGTGTCTGGGCACTGGAACAGCTCCCCAGGGCAGTGGTCACAGCCTCAAGCCTGACAGAGCTCAAGGAGTGTTTGGACAATGCTCTCAGGTACAGGGTGTGATTGTTCGAGATGTTCTGTGCAGGGCCAGGAGTTGGGACTCGATGATCCTCAAGGGTCCTGTTCCAGCTCGGGATATTCTGTGATTTTAAGCTTCTAATTTGTACACCCAACTAAGCAAAGTGCAATTACAGGAGGAAAAATACAAACCCCAAACCCCTAGAGCCTGGAGAAAAACTTCATAAATACATTGGTGAAACACATGTGATGGTCAGAATGCAGAATACTTACATATGCAGCTTCAAGAAAAAGGCCTGGACCACTTGAACAGTGTCTTGTTTCAGTATCATGAAACTTGAAGTGAAATGTAATCATAATTCACTGTTTGTAGCTTCTGGGTTAAGTCTACAATGTGTACTTCCCTTCTTTTTCCCCCTGAAATAGTTTTGTTTGTAAGTATATACTGGAGCACCAGAGCACATGAGAGAGAGAGAAAAGGTATCTATATATACAATTTCCTTTTATTAACAAGGTATGTCATTACTGAACAAGGCAACTGGGAAATACAAGGACTGGACATATACATGAAAATTTTACAACTCAACTAAAATTGGCATATGTTTTATATACATACGTGATCCATTAAGGTTACAACTCTACTGTATTTGATTAAACACAGTCCTAAGCACTTACATTTGTGGAAATTTGAAGTTGATCATACAGAGCTCAAGTATGGAATCTAAAAATAAGAACGATTTAAAAACTTCAAAACTTCTGTCCATCTGTTTTACAGAACAGCACTACAGCTTCTCCTACTCTCATATACATGAAAGATTATCAAAAATATATTGATGGGTCTATCACTAATCATGAATATTTATATTTACAATAAGTTAGCAAACTCTTCACCAAATACTTTATATACAAAGCTCAATTTGCCCTTTGTGAAATAGTCATTAAAAAGTTAAAAACCCATAGAAATGCCAGTTAGAAAGAACGCATTCCAAAAATTGGACTTGTTTACAGCGACTGAGAACAAGTGAAAATAATTTATGAAAAAAAGTATGTGACTTAGGAACATTAACTCTCACAACACTTTAGTTCCAACACAGAGTAGCAGGAATTTTGTCCTGGGTGTTCTTTGAGGGATAAACAGCTCTTCCAATAATGCTGCAAGAAAAGAGAAACACATGATTCTCAAGCAGTTTGATGTGAGTTTTTGAAGAAGGCAGAAGTAATTCAAAGACCAGTATTTTCCCCCTTCTCAGTCCAGGAAATCTTAGTCCCCATTTCTACGGCCCAAATACTCAGAATTTATAGAATCATAGAATCAGCCGGGTTGGAAAAGACCTCCAAGATCATCAAGTCCAACCCTACCATGGTTACTAGACCATGGCACTAAGTACCACGTCTAGTCTCAGCTTAAAAACCTCCAGGGATGGTGAATCCACCACCTCTCATTTCTCACTCCTTACAGGCTAAAAAGGAAAGGAAAAAATCCCCAAGAGAAACCTAACAGAAGCCTCTGTACCCAGTGCCATCCAGAAGCACAGACCCTTTTGTCAGCAGTGGTGCTGAGCATAATCTTGGCTGATTTTTGTGTTGACTAGAATGCTTTTGCAGCATGCTTTGAACAGCTCTAACAAAATTAGTCTTCTCTGCCAAACTAGAAACCCCTCTCCAACCCGTCTCTCAATTGAACAAGAGCTGAGACAGGAACCAGACGTTCACTCTGCAGGGACTTTACACAGACATGAGCACCTAAGGAGCTCTGCAATACAAAACATGGATGCTGAATGAATCTACACATACTAAGGACTAGACAGCTACTGAAACACAGACTCTCTTGGAATTCTGTTCCACTCAGGACCATCTGAGTACCAGAAATCAGTTTGACAACCCAAGAAAGAGTTTACAAACCTTCCAGTATGTGAGGAAAGAGCAGATGTATCAGTCACTATGGTCTCAGCTCACTTCTACTGACAGCATTGGAACGATGCTGTGGTTCTGCACTGAATCTAATCAGTACAACACACTCGTTCCTAATGGACTGCAGTAACTTTGTCAAAGTGCTGACACCACCTAACAAGCAAAATTAGATCCTGTTGTCAAATCTGAATGAAGTAGACTGAATTTTCCTTTTCATCTCTAGAGATGCTGAATGTATCTCCTACACTTGCTGTGGGGAATTCCTCTCTTCCAATTCCAAAAAAGCCTCTCCACGTGCTATTATCTCACCCATTCTGCTATTCTTCAAACTCCAAAATGACCAACTCTTCATTTGTCTGTTTTTTCCAAAAGATAAGTATGGAATGACATCTCAATCTCCTGTGATCCATGCACCCACAATCCTACTCGTGAAATCCTGACCCCCCTTGTTTCAGACTGTCCTCCATTCTTTGGCTTTCCTCCTATGCAATTATTCTTCATCTTAATTTAATCTTAATTCTTTTCAAGTCATCTTCCATGTTCCTCTCAGATCAAGCTCAGTGAAGGAAGGGCTATAAAATCTTTGGATGTTATAAAGTCTTCTCTTTATCCTACTCCTAAGTAACTTTACCCAAACCCAAAATCCACTTCTCTGTGTTGATGATCTTACACCTATCAAACTCCTCTAATTTACTGCTTCTCTCACACATTTTCACACCTGTGTTTGTGTGTGTATATCTATCTCCAATGCCTCCTTCTCCAAATTCAAGTCCTTTTCACCACAGCTTGACAAACTGGCAATCTGAGCATCCTGTGTCAGTCACAGACCAATGACGAATGTTCATGTCTTCAAACCTACACGTCCTACATGTCCACAATAGCATTTTGCAGGTTTCCAGCAGTCTCTCTCTGAAACATCTTCTGCTTAGTCCACTTGTATGTCTAAAACTCAGGCCCTGAGCTTTTCCTTTTAAAGTTGTCTAGTCTTCTAATGCAGGTCACCATATGTTCACACAAACAGTGCTACCAGCACAACTGAAGGTAAGATGTGGGAGCAGAGAGCAACTGAAGCTACTCAAGCAGCTCTGTTTATATACGTGACACCAGAGTTTATCCAATTCCCTTTCAGCAACACCTGGATCTGTCTGATAATCTTTGGTCTGGCTCCATTTTTGTAAATCTCTCACACTTCAGAGAGTGAGAACTCTCTCACTCTCTCTGAGCCAGGATTTAATATTATTTGTTTATACAGTACCTGGGCTGTTTGTACAGAATCCTGGGCTGCATCCAAAGGAGTGTGGGCAGCAGGTCAAAAGAGGTGATTCTCCCCCTCTACTCTGCTCTGGTGAGACCCACCTGGAATACTGCACACAGTTCTGGTGTCCTCAACATAAGAAGGACATGGAACTGTTGGAGCAAGTCCAGAGGAGGCCACAAAGTTGCTCAGAGGACTGGAGCATCTCCCCTATGAAGACAGGCTGAGGGAGGTTGGGGCTGTTCAGCCTGGAGAAGAGAAGACTGCGTGGAGACCTCAGAGCAACTTTCCAATATCTGAAGGGCCTACAAGGGAGCTGGAGAGGGACTGTTTGTTAGGAACTGCAGTAATAGGACAAGGGGAAATGGGTTCAAATTGAAGGAGGGAAAGTCTAGGTCAGATATTAGAAAAAGGTTTTTTTCCTGTGAGGGTGGTGAGACACTGGCACAGGTTGCCCAGGGATGTGGTGCCCTGACCCTGGCAGTGTTCAAGGCCAGGCTGGATGAAGCCTTGAGCAACCTGATCTAGTGAGGAGGTGTCCCTGCCAGGGCAGGGACAGTTGCGACTAGGTGATCTGTAAGGTCCATTTCAACCCTTAAATTCTCTGATTCTATGATTTTATGATACCTGAACAGGAATATTTACAGCAATAACTTAGGATCCTATAATAATACACAACAATCCTAAATAGGCAAATTTAGTTATGATAGACAAAATCTGTACAGGTATTTGATACCCTTTCAGACCTTACCAGTTTAATTTGTGCTCTGTCGCTGGACTTTTGGGCCAACGCTCTGAGTTTCTTCTTCTGGATTGGGGCGTTTCCCTGCACTAATGCCAGTACCAAGGGCTGTTCTTCCTAATAATTTAAAATCAGTATATTCACATTAACACTCTATAGCAGCTTTATATACTCAGGAAAAGTGTTCTGGGGGTGTTTTTTTGCTGTTGTTTAAATTACCTGCATGCAGTAAGTGTGACTGCTGATTGTCTCCGTGAGCATAGTGTAAGATACTACTTGCTGGACAGTAACCTGTGCAGACACAGTCTGTATTTAGTACAGTATGTACAATGTGGAACTACAAGCAAGTGTACAATTATACCCTTTACAACAACAAAAAGGAGCCACTTGATTTGGTCTCCATCATCAAGGAAAATCGTGCCAGCAACCATCCTGAATGCAGAATGGAAAAATAAGCCTCATGGCAGTTAAGTATCTGTGCACTTACATATGCTACACTAAGTGCCTATGTATTATATTTGCAACAAGCAGAATGTTTATATAACAACTATAATTAATAAGTGTTTGGATATAAATTTAACATTTCTTCTCCCAAGACTTCTCATCCTTTTCATTACTTTGTTATAGCAATACTAGTGGATCCTTAGCATAACTTAATTGTGTGGGGGGGAGAAAACAAAGTAACTTGAAAGAAAGACACAAACTTTATTCTGATTCATGTAAACTATCTACTGGCCACTTTGAAACTGAGTGTTCTGCATAAATAGTGCAATTAGCAGAAGCAGTTGCAAGGTTTTCTTGTTGTGAACAGCTGCAGTGTTCCTGTTGTGTTCTGGATGCTTAAACAAAACACAGATTAGAGTCTTTCATGATCAGTAAACACAACACCTCTGTTATGACTGCAAAGAAACAAACAGTTGTGTTAAACTTGATTGCAATTTAGATCTATCCCAAACTACAGCTTAAGTTTCAGTAGAGTTAGTGACAAAAGTTTGTTTTCACACTATGAGACTATCCACACAAAACTGTGGGAATTGGTTATGTACGTAAAGAGTGGGAGTGAAATCAGGGAAAAGGTAATATATACATTTTGCTGTCCAATATGCAAGGTGACCTTTCTCAGTATCTTTCATTTAAAGTAGCCTAGGATAATGTTTGTTAGCTTTGTTTAGTCATGTTTGTCACCCCTCCCACTACAAATACTGTCCTGTGTGAGCACACTTCAGAGATCAAAGTGACAAGACAAGCAAGTTCACTCTCAGAAATAATACTGGGGTTTCAAGAACAGAAACAAGGCCAGTGCGTGATGCAGACAGCAGCTGTCACCCCAAATCTACACGTTATTTTGCTGGTTTGTCTGCTTTACCATAGCTGCAAGGACTTGGAGATCCTCTACACACAGGCATTGCCACAATACCTTGCTGCTGAATTCCACTTGCTCCTGTATGAGAGTCTCCCAGGGCACATGACTGAACAACTGTATGACCATCACCAGTTCCCAGCTGAGCTCCTGGAGAGGCAGGGAAAAGACTTACACATAACAGAAGATACAATTCCAGTTCAGGAATTTAAAATATGGGGGGGGGTTTCCCCCCCTTTTTTTTTCCAAGCCAGGTACAAAGCTCTAATGCTTTTGTGTCTTCCCAAACTCACAACTGGCAAATTCAGATGAATACACTGTAACCTCCTACAAAAAGAATACATTTCTGATGTGAAAAGTACATCTAGACCTTCAAGTAGACACAAATACATTTTAAGGAGAATATATTTTAAGAGAAAAAGAAAGACATTTTAAGGAGTATCTTTAAGGAGAAAAGAGTGCACACAATGTTAATTCTTTAAAGCCTCTTTGTCTTCTAAATCTCCTGAACTTTTAAGAAATAAAAGCTCAAGCACCTAACTTTAAGGAGTCTAGATTTTAAATCTGAGAACTGCAGTGGCTGAGAACAGTAAGGTTCATCTTCCTCCTGCATCTGTTTCTAACCTTGACTAAAACCTGCCGAGAACACAAACCTAGTAAATTTTCAGTTCTGCTCTGTCCTTTTACAATTAAGAGTCCAAGATGTATTTAAGATGCACCATGGGTTAATACAATCTTACTATGTTTTCTTAGTAGCAATACATTCCAATAAGCACTGTAATATCTGCATTAGAAAACTTCACAAGTTAACAGTTCTGACTTGACAAGTCACAAATCACTCCTTATAATAAGTATCAGGATGCTTATAGACTTCTGGAAGAAAATCATATTCAAATGCTTTGAAACCAAACTTCTATGGTAATAAGTAATTTTTGGAGGGGAAAAAATGGTTAAAAAAGCATACATATTTAAGATGCAAAAAATACTTTCAAGATGTCTATCTACAAATACCATCAGACAATGGGTAAGTCTGAAAATGTTTGTGGCTTGCACTCAAACCTGCCTCGTGGAAACAGCTCTGTCTTACAATACATAATGGCAAAAGAAGTTGGTGTGGTTCAGTCACAGTAATTCTATGCACTGAAAGAATTTGACTGACCTCCTGTACTACCACAACCAGACATGCTTTCTCCTGGTGAATAGCCCATTAAGCCACCGTTTCCATTTCCATTTGGGTTAGAAGGCACTGTTGCAAGAAGACCTAAAAAACAAAACCAAAATACATAAGGAAAGAGAACAAAAGAAAAAAAGTAAGTGCAACATGGTCTTCAACTTGTGATAGACAACTCTCCACCCTTACCTTGAGGGCTGTAACAGGAGAACACCTCTCTGTCTTGCCTACTTATGGGATCCTGCTGAGTAATTCCTATTCACATTTACTTCACTTTAAGTTTCTACATAATGTTCTGTGTAACTTTTCCAATATTCATTAGCTACATGTACTCACTGTGTGCAATGCACTCTGATTCAACATGCAATAGGTGAACATATTGACTGCTCACACCTTCCTGAGCAGCACAAGTGCATGTGATTTACCTCTCAGAGCAAAGGGGGAGAACAATACCGGGTGTCTATTTGAACAAAATACAGGATGGCTGAAGTTATGAGCCACATGAATTTTCTCATCACTAGTATTAAAACCTATCTGTACAAGAGCATCAGAATGTACAGAAGGCCCAGTTCAGCCAAAAAAATTCCAAAAACCCACAGAAAAAAAGATTCTGGGCAATATTTAGAGAGAGGCACTTGCCTCAAACTCTTTCTTTCCTTTCTTGGTTGCATATAATATCTCCACGTATTTGGATACACAACCCTTGTCACCACCCTGAGCTTACACCTGATTATGTTGCTATGGGACTGAGTTATTAATTGCTAGGAGGTGAGAGAAGTTCTCAGATAAGTAAAGTCTGTAACCATACCCAGTCCTCTGTACCGCGAAAGCTGCTGGTAGATTTGTTTCATCCTCTCAATATTCAGACGACTTGCCTCTGCGTGGTTTACCATTGGTTTGGGATAATTCACTCCTATAATACACTTTGCAGCCTTCTGGATGCCCTCTGGGGCATTCCAAGGATCGTAGATATATTTCGCAGGGAAACCTCTAAGTACTGGCAAATAACGCCTTTAAAAAAAGGAACAACACAAAGGTCACGTGGAGTAGAAGTTTAAGCAACAACCCCGAGTTGCTGCTGTTTCCGCATTGTGAGTTACCTGATATAATCTCCATTTGGGTCAGTTCTTCTGCCAAAACCCACTGGGCAGTAGCAGTGAAAAAACTGCTGAAAGAAGGAACTACAGGACAGCCACATCCAGCTTCCAGCATTAACACTCCAATCTGCATCGAGCAACAGCTCTTCAAAGACCTGAGCAAATTAAGGCAACAAGTTAGTCTAAGTGTGACACACTGTCAAGAAACCTCCTTTTTCAGGATAAGCTCCTGAGTTTCTGATTTCAGCTTTCTTACACCTGGCAACATTCACAGAATGCTCAGGATGCAACTGCAAGTACTTAGCTAAAAGCCAAACCCAAAACCAAAAGAATAATCGAGAACAGGCTTTTACCGTGTAAACATCTCAGAAAGCTACACATTCTTACACAAATACATCCTTGAAAACAAATCCCCAAAGGATGGCTGGAGCCTGGCTGCTTCCAAGTGGCATTTCTTGTTTTCAGAAGAGTTGCTTCATCCCATCGCAATTGAGTAAGCTTTGCAAACTTCCAGAAAACAAGGAACACACAAAGTACATTTCAAACTCAAATTTCTGGGCAGAATACCTCAACTTGCACAACACCTTTTGCTATGGGAGGAATCCCAAGAGTAGAATTGGAGAGTTTCAGGGTACCACAAAGATTCAGACATTGTGTTCTCAAAGGGCAAGAGTTAATATAGTCAGTCACAGTTTTGACGATGCACTCTTAAATTCCTGGAGGTATATCAACCACCAAGAATGCTGAGGAATGGTGGGACAGATAATGATCTCAGGTCTGAAGACACAGAAAATGTTCCCAACATTTTAATTCTAATTTACTGCCTCTATATATATTAAAAAAGACCTATGAGAAAGTTGAAGATTTATGAGGGGTTTTAACTCTGGAGCTCAGGAGTTGTGAAACACTGAAGTTTCCAGCACTGATTGCTTTTTAATCTTTATCACAGACAATACAAACTTGTATAAAAAGAAGTTTATCTGCTCAGTCAGACCACTAGCAATACAGGCTAACAAGAAACAGAGAAGTCTTACTCTTTGAAGGACAATATTCAAGGACCTTGTATAAAAAAATGAATGCCTCTAGAAGTAATTTTGAAAACAGATACTTATTTAATATATATTTTTGCAAGTTCTTTCCTTTCAAACTTGCATTATTTCCAAATGTTCCAAAGAAACCATCATCTCTGCTCACGCTAAGACACTAAAACCCCAACATCTTACTACTGCACCCAACTTCAACTAATATTATTCCTACACAAAGTCTAAAAAGGTAGTATCATTAAGCAATGATCTCTCTCTCCATATATTCAGTAAAGATTCATTCCACAGTTTACACTGTGTTCATACAATCATCAGGGTTGGAGGAGATCTCTAAGATCATCTAGTCCAACCATTAACCTGTCACTGCTGGAACCCCTAAACCATATCCTCCAGTGTCAGATCCAGATGCCTCCTAAACACTTCCAGAGATGGTGACGCCACCACCTCCCTGGGCAATATTCCAGTGCCTGAACACCCTTACAGGGTTTCTCCTAACATCTAATCTGACTCTGCCCTGGCTCAGCTCAAGGCCATTCCATTCCCTCTAGTCCTCTCCCTGCAGCCATGGCAGGACAGATATCCCCCACCATAAGGTCACCCCTGAGCCTCTTCTCCAGGCTAACCAAACCCAACTCCTTCAGCCCTTCCCCATGTGTTCTAGCCCTTTGCTGACCCTCGTTGCCCTTGGCTGGACTCGCTCCAGTGCCTCAATGGCCTTTTGGCAGTGAGTGCCCAAAGCTGAGCACAGCACTGAGGTGTGACCACCCCAGTGCTGAGTCCAGGGGGATGAGCACTGCCCTAGTCCTGCTGCCACACTCTGCATGATCCAGGCCAAGATGCCATTTGCCTTCTTGGCCACCTGTGCACACTGTTGGCTCACACTGAACCACTGCCACCAGCACTGCCAAGTCCTTGATCACACTGGTCCAGCTCTCTGCATTACAAAAGTATCTTGTTACAAAAGAACTTGTAGAGAGTGTTACATCAATATCTTTGTCTAAATATCTGCAACTATCTGAAAAAAAACAGTTTCGAAAAAAATAAGATTTATCTTAAAACACTTTAAAAAAAAATTGTAAACAAAAATTGACTCATAACGCAACAAGATCTTCAGCTGAACGTTCAGTGTCAGCACACAATTGTTCCACTAGATGCTGCCATAAGACTTTGGAAATAAGACTGGAAGATCAGATTTGACTTTTGCTAGCTATGGATACAAGAATTAAACATTCTTCCACTGCACAAGTCTGTTATATTAACTTGTAGTCTGTATTACTGCAAAAGTAAGACTAAGTTGCTGTTTATCTGTAATACACAGTTCTGTTGTTGGCTGAGTTACTTATGTATGTGTATCTTTAATATCTTTATCTATCAACTGCAAAAGGAAAATTCCTAAAGCAGCTTAGGTTGCTGTATAACTAATATTTTTAAGTGAAAGGTGTTTGCTTACAACTTATCTGTTAGAAAAGATGAAATTTTCTAAGACTACATACATATATAATTAAGAGCTACTATCCTGATGGCAAGTAAATTCTTTTTTAGACTCCAAAAAATAAAAGCTGTTTCTCACTGATTATCACCACTCAGTAAGAGATGTGCTGCCCTTCTCCCAGGCTGAGATTAAATCATTACATTCTCATCTTCAGGAGACTGACATATCCAATTTGAACTTCAGCATCTATGGGATACTTGCATAGAATTAATTGCACTGAGACTTCAGCCAAATCATGTTGCCCATAATCACACTTCTAACACTGGGTGAAGGGACAGAAATTGCTGAAAGGATATTCTCAGCTTTTAATTTTCTCCCTTTAACTCCCACAGTGCTTTCCCCTTGCAGGGAAGCAGATGCAAGATGTGAACAGAAATTGTTCACACAGAATGACTGAAAAGATACCTTGATTAAATAGTAATCCATGTTTATTTGCCAAGAAGAAATCTCAAGTTTAAAAGAATTTCAGACCTATTCTGACTGCAAGAAACACTCTAACGTTACCAAAAAAAAAAAAAAAAAAAAAAAAGGGAAAAAAAAAGGGCCATTCAACAGGCAAAGTTTCAGCATGAGTGGTTGATCAGAGCAAATTGAGTTGTCCCCAACTTGAAGTTTAAAATTCAACTTAGTGATTCTAGAATTGTTGTTACTGTGCTGTGTATCTGAAACTTCAACAGGGACTTTAAGAAATTTGAGAATAAGAAACAGTACCTTCATTCCTTCTTCCCAGCTAATCCAGAGGTCACCTCGAGTCAGGAAGCATGCGACAGCATGCCTGGCTAAATGGTGAATCCAACCTTCTTGACGAAGCTGTGTCATAATTGCATCAATCCAAGGAAAACCTGTTCTGCCTTCTGCCCATTTGGCCAAAGCCTCAGGATTCTTATCCCAGGGAATTTGAACACAGATAGGATTCCCCTCCATTTTATCAAACCGTGGATTGTTAGTCGCTGCTGTGTAGAAAAATTCACGCCATAACAGCTGGCCATAGAGGGAGAGGGGAGGGGAGCTGTTCTTTTTTACCTGAAGATCATAATTACAAACAGAACACACTCAGTGTGGAGAAGTAGGGGGAAAGCCATGGCATTTAAGAGCATGTAGTTGACTGCACAGAACTCCTACCTTTTTGTACAGATCCGTTAACTTGAAATAAAAGAGGCGACAGGACAAACAGCCAAAGCGCAGGTAGGGACTGAGCCCCGTGGGGCTTGCCAGGAGGGAATTTGCATTCATTCGTGGCCTTTCGAAGTTTGCTACCCAAGCCTTGAGAAAACCAAACCAAAACAAAAACCATACACAGCAATATCAGACCAAGTTATGCAGCAACTTCTAAAGGGAGAAATCACACGCTGTCTATGACTGAATCCAGCAGTGGAGAGATGACCACATTACCTATGATATCTAGGGGTTCCTTTTGAGTCAGCAGAACCCTAGAAGGTAATTCATCTCAATGCAGAAGGCATGAACAATCTTCCACAACTCTGTCCCTTTCTATATATATTTCCAGTGTACTGGAAACCTAGACAACTAGCAATACATCAGAGGAATTCCCTTTCAAACTTATAAAAAGTTTATTTCAAATAAAATTACCATAAAAAATTTCTTTTATTAGCATAAAACAGTAAACCAGACTTTATCTAAAATTCAAATTAAACACAATCTGCTATCATCTTTTAAAACTAAGAAACCACTTGATTTATAACATCATATCAAGGCCTTCAAGTACAAGTCTGGGGGTTTGATGTTTTTAAAACAACCTGCCCAAATTCCTTTATGTTTCACTGCAAAGTCTAACTATGTTTCCCAGATCTCATAGAATCAGAGAATTTTAGGTGTTGGAATGGACTTTAGGGATCCATCTCGTCCCAACCCTCTGCCCTGGGCAGGGACACCTCCCACCAGAGCAGGTTGCTCAAGGCTTCAACCTGGCTTTGAACACTGCCAGGGTTGGAGCAGCCACAGCCTCCCTGGGCAACCTGTGCCAGTGTGTGTCATACTTGCAATGATCTGAAACATACCTTTCGTTCCAAGTGTCTTTCCAATCGTGTGAGAGCCTCTGTTTCTCCCCCTGGCCATACTGCAGAAGGCAGACCATCAGTGTCAAAACCTGAAAGGCAAATTGAAACAAGCAAATTCCTTGTTTGCTCATAGTGTAGGGCAACAAAATTCTACCATATCCATAACATGACTACACTTTGCTGCATCTTGAGAAAAACCATAAGTTGGACACAAGTATAAGCTTTAAAACAGTATGCAGCCAAGTCTTCTCCAAGCACATCCAATACCTTTAGCTTGCAGCAAAATCCAACTTTTACTGTTACAATTACATTAATAGACATTACAAATTTTGCGTGCTGAATGGCCTTACTTCAAACCCACTTCTTCTGGGGTTTTTTTTAGCACATTTTCCAAATGATTTTCAAGTTCTCAGCTCTGCAATGTGCAGCCTACCCCAAAACCACAAAGTTGTTCTGAGTTTTCTTTCAAATTACTACTAAGAAGCAACAGTTGCTATTGTAATTTACAGAATATCTAAAAACTTTTTCCTCTAAATTAAAAGCCTAAGTGGCATCTTTAGAACACTCCTAGATTTCATTGACCCAGACTTAAATAGAAGATGGGGATTGTCAATTTGATGATAAACACAGACTTGAGCTGCAAAAGACAGACAAAAGGAAGGCAACAAGATTTTTTCCACACCCCCACACCTCCCCCAAGACTGTCCATCAGATGCAAGAGAGAACACATATGCCTATAGCTTAACGACTACATAGTGAGTTCTTCTGTTTCAAAAAGGCTTTAAAAGGACCCTCAGTTCAGGAGGGATACTGAGGTGCTGGAGCAGGTCCAGAGAAGAGCAACGAGGCTGGTGAAGGGACTGGAGCACAAGTCCCATGAGGAGAGGCTGAGGGAGCTGGGGTTGTTCAGCCTGGAGAAGAGGAGGATCAGGGGAGACCTTATCACCCTCTGCAACTCCCTGACAGGAGGTTGGAGTCAGGTGGGGGTTGGTCTCTTCTCCCAGGCAACCAGCAGCAGGACAAGAAGGCACAGACTTAAGCTCTGCCAGGGGAGGTTTAGGTCAGACACTAGGCTGAGATTTTTTTATGGAGAGAGTGATCAGGCATTGGAATGGGCTGCCTGGGGAGGTGGTGGATTCACTGTCCCTGGAGGTTTTCAAGATGAGACTGGATTATGGCACCTGGTACATTGGTCTAGTAACCATGGTAGGGTTGGACCCCTCACCCAGCCAACCCGTCTGAGTCTGTGATTCTACGACTTTATGAAATGCAAGGTCTGTTGTGTGAGAGTTCCAATGGACTAGACAGGACCGCAAGAGGTTAACCAAAATCTGTCCAGACCCTTTTGTTTGCAATTTGTAGGTCATGCTACATTTGCTTGTATTTTGAGGGTGTATGGGGAAACAGGAGAGAGAGAAAGAGAATCACAGGGCAACACCTTGACAGTATATTGTAAAATGAAATTTACAAAACAGAAAACTTCTTTTTCCCTCAGGAAGCATCTAAAATAAGTATTTTCCCTAATATCATACTTTTTTTTTTTGGTGTAGCAAGAACACAGTGGGGGTTTTAAAATGCATTTGTAAAATGACAGATTAATGACCTGAAGCACAGCGCCACCAAATGCATTTAATACAAAATGAACCATCAAAGATTACTTTTAGTTTAATAACTACTTCGTACTCTGGGAAAATGGCTAAGTTGTATTACAAGAAGCCAAACAGTACTTAGTGTAGCTTCATCTGACCTCCCATTTACAAAAACCCAAATAAATTTACTGAGTTGATTAACCTCCTTTTTTTTCCCCCCTCTTGTATGTCATAATTGCATCAGTTTAACAATTAACCAGAAGCAGAATCTCTCTCGTTATTTAAAGTATTATGCTTCTAGTGGTAATTACGTCTTGCACGTTGCATAATGTGTAAGCAATCTCAGCACATACCTAGCTCCTCAAGGGATGGCACACCGTATTTCTCATCGTGGTCGTCAGAAACTGGAGTGGTGCATTTTTTCATTACTTCTGGGGTTATAGTCTCCACAGGCATTTCCAGTGGTTCCATTCTGCTAATTAGGGTCTGGAATCTCTTGTAAGTAAGAGGAGGTTGTCCTCCATTTAGTTCTATGATTCTGGATTGAAGAAAAAGCAAAAGAAAAGAAGCATGTCAGAAATTATATATTTAAGGAAAATAGACACAGCTATACACACAGAGAAGTATCTTCTCACCTCTCTCTGGCACGCTCTATGAAATCACAGATACACATGGGAATCCAGTCTGAACTTTCATTTTAACATCCTTTCTTTTCCCCACCAGGGAGACATATAAATTTACTGTTTACAACCAATTCAGTTTTCTTCATTCCTGGGTTACAGAAATTCCCTCATGGATGAGGAAGTAATGAATGAAACTGTTGGAACAAGTCCAGAGGAGGCCACGAAGCTGCTAAGAGGACTTGGAGCATCTCCACTAGGAAGACAGGCTGAGGGAGTTGGGGCTGTTCAGCCTGGAGAAGAGAAGACTGCGTGGAGACCTCAGAGCAACTTTCCAATATCTGAAGGGCCTACAAGGGAGCTGGAGAGGGACTGTTTGTTAGGAACTGCAGTGATAGGACAAGGGGTAATGGGTTCAAATTGAAGGAGGGAAAGTCTAGGTTAGATATTAGAAAAAAGTTTATCCCTGTGAGGATGGTGAGCCACTGGCACAGGTTGCCCAGGGACGTGGTGGCTGCCCTGACCCTGGTGGTGTTCAAGGTCAGGGGATGAAGCCTTGAGCAATCTGAGGTGAGGAGGTGTCCCTGCCCAGGGCAGGGGGTTAGGGCTGGATGTAAGGTCCATTCTAACCCCTAAATTCTATGACTCTATGAACGTGGATAGTTCAAGGCAAAGAAAAATACAAATCAACAAAGCAGATGAGAGATCATAGCTACATACAGAACTATCCAAGTCACCCACATGACTGTGCCCTTTGGATTGAAAAAAAAAATATCTACTTTTCAATTTTGGTATTGAGAACAGTAGTCAATATTACAACTGTCTCAATATGGGGGAAATTAACATGCACTTCAGACACAGTGACTGTTGTAAAAGCAGTCTCCATATTTTGTATTGTCATTTTAAATAGAGCTAAAATCTTGGGAAAAGGAAAACATCAAAGAAAAATTTATACAGTGAGAGATGGAGCAAAAAAGTTATTTACCAGGGTGTTTAGGCTGGAGGGAACTAAATGTTTATTTAGTAGGGGGCTTGGGTGGGAGGGAAGAGAAGGATCTTTTAATTCAGGATTTTAAAAAAATCATCAGTCAGCTACTGGTTTCAAACAGTAAATCAATCCATTTCCCTGTCCTCCCATTGTCTAGTTGTCTTGTACCTTGGCTTGTAACAGAATAAAATGAGCTTCTACTACAATAAATCACTCGATGTTAAGAGAAGCCAAGTCATACTTTGGCCTAGTTTGTGGATCATGTTTCTATAATAGGGAGGCTAATACTAACCCACTGAAATGGATCTGTGGAGAAATATAAACAAGACATTAAGTAAGGCAACACAGGGACAGCAAACAATCCCCAACTACTTACTGAATGCATAACTGATAGGAAACAATTATTAAACAAACATAAAGGACTTTCTGACAACTTGTGAACAACAAGTGAAATAAGGACCAAACAATCTAACAGAACAACTGAACAACAACAGATAATTTGGAGAAGCTACAGATATGTTTGAGTAACGTCATTGTAAAAGACAGATAACATGAACAATATTTTCAGAAGTATCCCAAATTAAAACTACATTTCAGATAGTAACGTATGATTTTTTGGAGTCTCCAAGTTTTACTCAGTGTATAACAACATCTGGATGGATAGGAGTGAAACATAACACAAATCTGTAGTTCCTCCAGCTACAAAGTGCTATGTGTGGAAAGTAGCACACAATAACTAAACAAATACTACACAACATTCTAAAGAGTTTTTTTAAACTTTTTAAAAATCAGAGGTAGTGGTAACTTACTTGTCCAGGTCATACAGCGTATGGGAAATCCGAACAATGACCTCCACTCCAGCTTCACTAGCCAGTTTCTTAATAGCTGCATCTCTCTCCTTCCCAAAGGGTTCAGAATCATATTCAATAGAAAGTTTTGCAATATTCCATTCCTACAACACAAACGGAAAATGTGGTCCTTCAGCAACTCAGCTGCAGGATGGAGGCTGAGGGAAAGGAAAACTGGAAGGACAGGGACAGGATGAAACACCAGCTGTTATGTGAGGAGAGTTGTTAGAGATACAGAAAGGTCCAAAATGCATTTACACACTCAGAATAACAAAGTCCAACGTTTTGGCATCTAAGTAAAAGGCATAACAAAAGCTTCCATCTGTCCCATTACGGTGGGTGCATACAGTAATGCGACAACTTCTGTGCAAGTTGTGAAAACTCATCTCTTATCTTTGGGATCCATACACCTTAAGAGACAGAACGGAAGGGAAAGATGACAAAGGTTGTCTTGTGGACACTGATCAGCAGCAGTATCTTGCTTGGCAGAAAAGCTTTTTACATACACCTGCCAACTTTAACAGCAGAACTGAAGTTTCAGGGGCAGGACACGGAAATACCTCTACCTCAAACTAAACACCACACATTTTCTTAACCTTTTCTAAACCCCTACTCCTCACTCAGACAGTCTTCAAATTCTCAATTAAAAAGCATAAGGCTGTCTCCTAAAAAGAGAATGCCTGGAAGTCTAACATCCTTTACCATGGCAAACAGTCATAGGTGGGAAAAAAGAAGCAAAGAAAGGGATCAACTAATGCCTAAGCCTTCTGCAACAGGGGGCTTCTGAAAGGGGGCCTACAAGGGAGCTGGAGAGAGACTCTGTATTACGAACTGCAATGATAGGACAAGGGGTAATGGGTTCAAACTGAGGGAGGGAAAGTCTAGGTTGGATGTGAGAAAAAAGTTTCTTACTCTAAGGGTGGTGAGACACTGGCACAGGCTGCCCAGGGACGTGGTGGCTGCCCTGACCCTGGCAGTGTTCAAGGCCAGGCTGGATGAGGCCTTGAGCAACCTGATCTAGTGAGGAGATGTCCCTGCCCAGGGCAGGGGGTTGGAACTAAATGATCTGTAAGGTCCATTCCAACCCTTAAATTCTATGATTCTATGATTTTAGGTAGCTGTTTAGTCTGGAGGAAAGGAGGCTCAGGGGGTACCTTATCACTCTCTACAAAGACCTTATCACTCAACAGTAGGAAACTGGAAAGGTGAAGTATGCACAGAATGATCCCAGAAAGCCATTCTGCCAATCAAACTTAAAGAAACACCTTTGCAGTCCCTCAGAATCTTAATCACTTGATTTAAATACACCAGCCAGCCTACTGCAGAGAACTGGATTTACACCAAAGAGACAAGGGCACTTGCCTATCCACCTGGGGTGCTATTTCACTTCCAAACTCTAGCTCTCTCTGAGATGAAGCCCAGCCCTGAGGATAGGTGATTCTAAGGAGTGCTTGCTCTTTGAAATGGCAATTTGGCTCCATTCATGCATAAATCTGCCAAGACTAACCCAGCAGGCCTTGACTCCTTAAGCAACCTCCTACACCATCATACAACATTTATTTTGCATTTCACCATGTAAAACCACTGTCTGACAAGTTGTAGCAGATACTTTAAGAATTTCTTTCCTCTGGCATATTGAACACTCAATCATAAAACTGTGTCCAAGAGCCAGAGCCACATCCTCAAGGAGTCAAGGAACTCTGAGACAAGTGCTACAGGATATGAATACACCCAGATCACACCAGCAGAAGCTAGGCAATTAGAAGCATGGACACTAATCGCTTTGCACATACTGCTGGCTGCTTTTAGCAACACTGAAAATGTTGTGACTGCTCCAGTTCTATTTTCTTTATTGGGCGAGTTCCAAAGAGCTAGAGACAGAGAGCAGAGCAGGACAAATTGAAGAGAATGCGGCAAGAATGAACCAAAACTTGACTGGAACTGAATGGAACAGTCTAAAGGTGCTTGAGGCCCTTTGTAAGATAAAAACAGATCAGTGCTCTGCCTTTGTCCTTCAGCCAGAGCAGGCTCTACAGAAGTTCCTCCATCTCCTACCATGACTTAACTAAAGTTATCTTTTCCCAGCCAAACTTAACTAAACATATCTTTTCCACATGTGTTCATTCTTCATGGTCAGGATCATTGCTCACCTTTGAGACACTTAATGAGGATTATCTGAGACTCAGAGCTGCGTTACTAGCCCTTCACTGCACTGCAAGTACCTGAGGTACAGCTACTGCTCGGGCAAAAGAAGCTCTGAGAATGATTACGTGAGATAGAAGCACATGCCAGGTAGACTTTGGCCAAAAGTGAAACAGCCCTCAAGAGCTTCAGTCATTTGTGGATAGAGGCTGTCCTGGAAAGCCCCTCAGTGAACCAATACATGATAAAACCACAGCCTGGTAGTTTGATGAACCAGAAGACACAGACAGATGTGGATGATCTTTTTTGATTGCTGTGCACTATCTACATGACAAGTTATTTTCATTACCTTCTCGGCACTAAAAGTAATACTCTGAAGATGTGGCAATCCAGTGCTGTTATGCATAGAAAGATCAGCCAAGTAGCAAGATCTGAAGCAGGAGTTGTCAAAGTAGCCCTTACAGTATTTAAGACTTGTCACAGGTTGCTGAAATCCATGAGGCTCCACACACACAATAGCCACATCTCTGCCCCTACTTAAATGCAAATCAAACTAAATGGGGCAGACAGCTGTAACAACCTTGAATATCTAGGGAGTTGCAACCAGCAACTAACTAATGCCACAGGAAATTCTCCAGTTATGGGAAATCAAGGAAAGACAGGGAGGTGTTAGCGTTTCACAACTAAAGCACGAGAATGAAGACGGAAATGTGAGTTTTGGTTAAGTTTTCAGCTTGGACTTGAAGACCTGGGAATAAAAATCTTTGGAGAACTCCTTTGGATCTCTTTGGAGAAACATACCTAGCTTCCCCCCTAGTCTTGATTGTCTCAGTCACATCAATCCAGCTATTTCATAAAAGCTTTTCAAGTCAATTAGCAAAGGGTTCAATTTTACTATACTTTTAGAGCATTATTACCTTAAACACACTGTTACCCACGGACAACAAATTAGGATCAGTAACAACTGAGCTTTAAGTTGCTCAATACTAAGACCCTTTCCCACAAAAACCTTAAACTTCTTTGACTAGAAATGTTTATTTGGATGCATTATGCTTTCACCAAGCCTACTGCTGGCAAAAAGCTTATTAAATCACCTTCAATGGCCAAAAAGTAACCACATCAGATATTTGGCCTAAATAAAACACTGCTTTTACAGGTCAGGCTTTGAACCTGGATTCATGTGCACACAATTATATTTCAGTACTATAAAGAGAACCTAGAAAGGAAAATGTAGTAATGTACAGTACCTACACTTAGCAAACCATTTGAAATCAGTTCCATTTCTGGAAAGAAAGAAACCAAAAACTGTAAAGTCTAAGAGCAACTCAGTTCAGTTGGTGATACACACATTAGAGGAGAAAAATTCATAGCTAACACAACCAACCTTAATGAGAAACTGCAAGGACAGTTAACTGTTTACATGGATAACTTGCACTGAGGCATATATTGGAAGAAATATTCCTATTTGAAATCAGTTTATCTGTCATATTTATGGATAGAAACAACAACTGTAAGGTGGCATTTACCTTGAAAAGCCTGGGGAAAACATCTGCTGGCTGTCCACGAATGACAAACAAACGGGAATTGAGTTTCCGTAGGTTGGCATCAAGATCCTCCAGACACTGAAGCAGGAAGCTGCAAGGAATTGTAAAGGAACATTTTATTTTCTGAAGCAAACCAGACAATTTGGCAATAGAAAAAGGTAACCCAGGGGAAATATCCAACAGTGACTATTAGACATTGAGTATTTGGTATGCATTTTCATAAAATCATAGGAATTTTAGGGGTTGAAATGGAGCTTAGAGATCATCTAGTCCCAACTCCCCCCTGCCCTGGGTCAAGGAATTGTAAAGGAACATTTTATTTTCTGAAGCAAACCAGACAATTTGGCAATAGAAAAAGGTAACCCAGGGGAAATATCCAACAGTGACTATTAGACATTGAGTATTTGGTATGCATTTTCATAAAATCATAGGAATTTTAGGGGTTGAAATGGAGCTTAGAGATCATCTAGTCCCAACTCCCCCCTGCCCTGGGTAGGGACACCTCATCATCAGGTTGCTCTCAAGGCTTCATCCAGCCTGGCCAGGGTTGGAGCAGCCACAGCCTCCCCGGGCAACCTGTGCCAGTGTCTCACCACCCTCATAGGAAAAAAATCTTCTGCCTAATATCTAATCCAAATTTCCCTCTTTGAGTTTGTCCCCATTGCCCCTTGTCCTGTCACTGCAGCTCCTAACAGAGTCCCTCTGTGGCTTCCCTGGAGCCCCTTCAGATCCTGGAAGGTGCTCTGAGGTCTCCGTACAACCTTCTCTTCTCCAGGCTGAACAGCTCCAACTTCCTCAGTATTCTGGTGATGCACACAGGTTCTCATCCTAATTACACTTAGCTTACAGTAGTACAATACCATATAATACATTCAACGATACGTAATTCATAAAACCAAACCATGTTGTCATTTAAGTTTACACCTCAATTCTATTCAGCTCTGAAATGGACCAAACATACTCTAGTCTTAACTAAAACTACAAGTACCTTGTCACCCTAGAGACAAAAAAAACCCCCACACTAAAGAAAAAAAAAACTACAAGTACCTTGTCACCCTAGAGGCAAAAAAAACCCCCACACTAAAGACAAAAGCCCTCAACAAACAGATAATAAGCTGTTGGCACATTGCTACTAAACTTAATCCAAGTGCTTCTTACAACATAGCAGCCGAACTGTTGCTAAAATCAGCATACCAGGGAGTACACATTCATAACTATCTCTTTGGCCTTCATTTATAAAGATAACTACTCTCTACAAGACAGTTTCATGCATCTTGGCTGTAAATGCACCTGAACAATTTAATGAGTCATTAAAGGGGAAAAAAAACCCAGGGGGAATGGGGGGCTGCATATCCACAAGTCTTCAATAGAAAGAGGTAGTTGCACTAAGGATGTTGAGATAGGTTCACATGTGCAAAGATTTATTAGTGGATGCAGTAACTAAAATAACTCCAGTGGTGCAATTGGTTTGGGAAAGGAAGAAAAACAAAAGGAAGGAGAGGAAAAAAAGAAACCAGGGTCCCCAGATGAGTGCTCTTTGCCTGGACTCCTCTACAGGTCACAAATGGCTCCTCCACAATATTTTTCTCCTGTCGTCAGCAGGTTGAGGGAAGTGATCCTCTTCCTCTACCCTGCCCTGATAAGGCCACATCTGGAGAGTAGAGTCCAGTTCTGGGCTCCAAGTCCAAGAAGGACAAGGAACTCCTGGATAGGGCCTGGTGGAAGACTATGAAGATGATGAGGGGACTGGAGCATCTCTCCTATGAGCAAAGGCCAAGAGACTCAAGCCTGTGAAGCCTGGAAAAGAGAAAACTGAGAGGATATCTTATCAATGCATACAAGTATCTTAAGGGCAGGTGTCAAGAGGATGGGGCCACACTCTTTTCAGTGGTGTTCAGCAACAGGACAAGAGAGAATAGGCACAAACTAACATGGGAAACTCCATCTGCATATGAAGAAAAACTTCTTTGAGGGTGACAGAGGACTGAAACAGGCTGCCCAGAGAGGTTGTGGAGGCTTCTTCTCTGGAGATATTCAAAACCCACCTGGACGTGATCCTGTGCAACCTGCTCCATCCAAGTGAACCTGCTTTAGCACAGAGCGTTGGGACTAGGTGATCGCCGGAGGTCCCTCCCAAACCCAACCATTCTGTGATTCTGCAGTAACAATATACTTTTCACCAGAAGCTGCTCAAATTCTTTCAGCCATTGTCTCTTACAATGCTTCTGGCACTCACCAAAGTGCATGTTGATCAGGGCAATCTCTGAGTCAGCGCCTGCCAGTCATTAACCTCTGCATACACATTTATTGGATCCCCTGCCATAAACCACAAGCTACACCCAAAGGAGGGGAAAGACCAGGCAATTCCCACACTGAAAGGCATCATTCCTGAGAAAACCTGTTGTGACACTATGTGCAGGTGCAAGGCCACAAAGATAACACCACAGGTGCAACTGCCCAAGGCAAGGAAACTCAGTGCCAGGGAGGCTGGAGACACTGCACCTCCACGGAAAGGTGCAGAGACACCACAAAGGGCAGGCAGCACCACTGCAAGCACCCACAGCCTTATGAAGACAAAGGCACTGAGCAACAAAGTTTACTAAGACCAGGAGTTCAAACACATCTAGATTTTTCAGAATTAATCCTAAAATATAACAACCAGATACAATGAAAATGCTACACCTTCTAGGAGGTACATTGCATACATGATGGTTGCAAACCTGCTAATAGCCTGTCCAGAGAAGAGCAATGAGGCTGCTAAAGGGACTCAAGCACAAGGCCCATGAGGAGAGGCTGAGGGAGTTGTTTAGCCTGGAGAAGAGGAGGCTCAGGGGAGACCTTATCACCCTCTACAACTCCCTGAAAGGAGGCTGGAGTCAGGTGGGGGTCAGTCTCTTCTCACAGGCAACCAGCAGTAGGACAAGAGGGCACAGACTCAAGCTCTGCCAGGGCAGGTTTAGGTCAGATATTAGGAAGAGTTTTTTACGGAGAGAGTGATCAGGCATTGGAATGGGCTGCCCAGGGAGGTGGTGGATTCACTGTCCTTGGAGGTTTTTAAGGCAAGACTAGATGTGGCACTTATTGCCATGGTCTAGTAACCACAGTAGGGGTGGACTTGATGATCTTGGCGGTCTTCTCCAACCTGGCTGATTCTATGATTCTATAATTCATTACCCAGAGATTTAGCAATATGTAAGTCATGCCTGCCAAACACACACTGGTTCCAACTTTATATGGGAAAAAAATTTATCAGAAATAATACATGGAAGGCTGGGAGGAAACCTCCCTAGCTGCTACTAAGTGCCTACAATGCATGGCTCACTCGACCTGAAAGAGTAAGAGCAGTAGGAGCACACAGACTACAGTAACTTCTTGGCTGGCAAACAATGCTTATATGTTCTATGACTGGAACAAACAAAAAATGCCCAATTTCCTCACTTTGCCAAGTTTTAGTTTTGAAAAAACTCTTGGATAGCAAGAAAAGAAAAGGAAGCTTCTGTATACTCATGTACTTAGAAACCATGCAGGAGTCATTTTGAGAATCAGATGAAAATTGCGTATGCTTATATCAGAGAGAACTTGGGCCCCATGTTCCCAGGACAAAGTTCCATCTGGACTCTGAAAATTACAGCTTGATTTTATCATGTCTTTTCGACACCTGTAGTAACAGACATCAGACACTAACCTCATCTATGTGCATCTTGCTTTCAAGGAGCATGTACATTCACGTATGCTTCACAGATCACTAGGAAGGTAAACCGGAATAGTCCAGAGGAGGTGGTTTTTTTGTGGCTTGGTTTGATGGGGTTTTGTTGCTGCTGTGGGTTTTTTGGTTTGTCTTTTAAACTTCATATCACAGAGTACAGGGAAAGGGTATGAAGAGAAATAGGTAACATGAAACGTTCATAGCTATTCAAACTTACTTTTTTTCCTACTGACATTTTTGTTTCCTCTGTTTTCTCAATCTCTTTTCTCCCTACCTGACTGACCACAACATACAACTTCCAGTCTGGACTTGGCACAAAATCCTATTCAAGAAGATTAATGCACTGACCCAGTCTCCAATTCACATCCAGGATCCCTAAACTTGCCCTTAATCCTGTTTAATCTCTATTTGTTGGGCTCCTAAATCCCTACTATTATCTCTCTTAACGATCTCTTACCACACTCCAGCATTTCAACCTCCATAAAACTTGTTTAGGTATCTAACAAGAATAACAGCGTAGACTCCAACTATTAAATATACGTAGGAGGAGGAGAGTGGCCAGGCATCCAGGATCCCTAAACTTGCCCTTAATCCTGTTTAATCTCTATTTGTTGGGCTCCTAAATCCCTACTATTATCTCTCTTAACGATCTCTTACCACACTCCAGCATTTCAACCTCCATAAAACTTGTTTAGGTATCTAACAAGAATAACAGCGTAGACTCCAACTATTAAATATACGTAGGAGGAGGAGAGTGGCCAGGACAGACACAGACACACGCACAGACACAGACACACGCACAGACACGCCTCCTTACCTCAACGAAAACCAGAACAAACAAAAATCAGCCAAACCACAGCTTGTGTTGCAAGAAAATCATAGACCAAATCAAACCCTAGCAACCCTGTGATATCTGGAGCAATAGCAATGCAAAGGAATACTAATTTTGAATTTCAGAACACAGGTTCAGATTACAAGTGGTTACTTTGACCAAGCATGAAGTTTATTAAGCATATTTGAATCTTTCAGTTGGACCAAATGGATTTTAACAAAATGTGCTGCAAATAATTAATCATCTATTTTGTCTTCGCCAACTGTATTTATGCTGTATCACATCTAAAGGCATTTGCTCATTAAAAGTATTAATAAAAGTTGTCTAACTTAAAAGCCTTTACACAGATTTATAGAATCACAGAACAGCTTAGGCTGGAAGAGACCTTTAGAGGTCATCTAGTCCAACCTTCCCTGCAACAAGCCTTGCTCAGTTAAAAATGAACTTTCTTAAATCATTGCTTTTAGATATATATATTCCCTACCAAGAAACTTAACAGTCAAATCAACTATTTGTCATGACCAAAGTTTTCACCTCCTCTTTTCCTCATGAGAACCCTTAAAACTTGCAGAAGCAGCACAGCAC